AAGGCAAACAATTTGGGTCAGAAAAGTCTCATGCCAGAGGCCATCGATTCTCAGTCTTCTTATAATTGATATTAAGAAAACTGGGTTTCGAAGAATTTTTAGCAAAATAATGTGGCATGACTCCATTTCCAAGAAGTTAGTGGAAGGAATTTGTGATTTGGTCTCACTGGAAACCCAAGGAGAATTGCCGCGTAGGTAAGGCTGTTGAATTATGCGAAGAAGTCCCCTGCGACCCCGATGAAACTGTGCTAAGCTTTCGTCTGTACCAGCCTGGCAGACATCATCAGGGCAAGATTGCATACTTTAAGAAATATAGCAAAAATATAATAAACCAAGCGAGGAAGGGGGCCGGCTGCAACCCTAGTCGCTTTTTTATACGCCTAACATCGCGATCTTAATGAGGTCTCCCTTGATTTGGTTGTCTACTTCAACCTTACTCTACATGCTTGCAAATGAGGGAAGTTAACTTCCCGAATCGGTAATGCGTTAAGTGGCAGCTGTTTCATCACATAAAAACTAGCCTACGATCGCCAAATGCTGAATCATGTTTGGGCTTGTGCTATTGTCTATTGTGTGTATTTAATGCTCATGTCATGGAAAGTGTGATAGTCCTAGCTAGACTCGAGGCTAATCCAGCCTCCTTCTCTTGCTCAGTGGCTCTTCCTGCACTCGCTCTCTCTCCCTTTCCTTAAGTCTATCCAACAGCCACAAAAAGTTCCTACTTACTGTTCTACACTTGTTCCTTCTATTCAAGACGTCGACTATTTTGTTAATTTCTATAGACTCCCTAATGCTACGCTTTGATGTGAACTCCTCGTAACCCGCAAAACGTTGTGTTTTGGACCAGTCTATTGACTGTCCTGTATTGGCCATTTATTCAGTGAGTTCAGATTTTTGGACCCATATAACTTTACAAGCGGTTTTCAATCAAGCCTTCTCCTCTTGTTCGGTAAACACTCTTATTTCCTAAGTTATGAGTAAGCTATATGGACGATTACTTTGCGGCTTTGCATCACAAAAATTCCTTGAGCTAATAAATAGAAAAGATGCAAACACTAAGTTTAATATGGAGTTAGAAAAGGAAAATAAGTTGCAGTTTTTAGATTTATTAATGAGCAGGGAAAGTAATAATTTAGGTAGAGATGTATATAATAAAACCCACTCACACTGGTTTCCTTATTAAATTCTGTTCGAGCCATAAATATACAGTAAAAATAGGAGCTATGAAGTTTATGATAATAAGGAGTCCACGTCTAGCAGATGGAAACTATAGTGACCAGGAGATTGGTAAATTAAAGGATATACTGTTTCAAAACAATTACATATCAATTGTAGTTAAGAAGACTAAGGAAGTTTGCTATCAGGTGCGGGATAGAAAACTGGACAATTCTACTCTGTTCTTGATTTTGCCCTCCTGTCAGCTGGCTGAAAAGTTGGGTGAACTACACAGGAAGTTGAACATAAAAGAAAGTATTTTAAAAAATAGCACTTTCTTCAGCAGTTCCTTCGTTTAGAAAATATCCAGACCCTCTTTCTAGATCAGGCTGTAGCAAGGTTTGGTGCTCATGTGAAGAGACTATGCGAGGACAAAAGCGCATGTAAAGGTCTATGGGTCCAAAAATCTGAACTCGCTGAATACATGGCCAATACAGGACAGTCAATAGACTGGTCCAAAACACGTTTTGCGGGTTACGGGGAGTTCACGTCAAAGCATAGGATTAGGGAGTTATGCATGAAGCTTAAGTGATGAAAGTTAACAACATTTATATCGGTAGAGCATTTAATCCAAATTATTAATTAAAATAGAGGCAGCAGATGCCCTAGATATGCCGTAATGTCAAAATAATTTCCTGCCAAATTTGGGATGAATGTACACTCATATTTACATTCTAACTTATTTCGATTCTCTTACTCAGGTTCTTTTGTAGAAAATGTGGAGCAAAATGGGTATCTGAAAGTGGCAGGAGGAAACATTCGTGCACGTCAGCAGTTTGAAGGCTTACTTCAAGCATAGTACTTTCAGAATTGTCGTTGGAGGAAGGAAGATAAGAGCATGTCCGAGTACCACTCTGAAGAATAGTTTTGTATGTATAATGTAAAGACGATTACAGTTGCAATTTTATATGAAATTTCTGAATGAGCATTCTGCAAGATTATAACCATATGCTCATCAGGGCTAGGTTGGAAGTAAAAAAACACAATCAAAATGATGTTCGAAAAAATCGAAAAAATAGTTTAAATGTCGGCAAAGGCATAAGGGAAAAAGTAGTATATACTCACAAGCATACAGGTAAAATACAGTTGATGTGTATATATACATATTATATGAGCATGTAAATCTAATGAAGGACGGAAAAATACCATTAAAAACGCATCGCTAGCTATTGTGACCGCAAATTCAATTTAAGCATAGTTTTTGCTTGGTAGGGTTCCCAACTTTTTACGTTACGATAATTATGCTGATTAATAGGGACCTACATATATCCCAGAGTGTAGTAAGCACACGATTTTAAGCCTATTCTAACCAAAGCATTCCTCTGATAGGCACGTTCAGAGGTATAAGATAATAAGACCGGGAAATCAACGCCGTATGTGGTTACTCGGCAAGTATGCATACGAGTGGACACTTGGGTGTGCTTCAGCTGTCAAGCATCAAAGCTTTACGCTCTTTCATTTCTTCGTAGCCTTGTGCCTCCATGAAATCGACCAAATAAAAATTATTCTTTTCCACCGGTCGACAGGAAACAAGGCTGACGACAGTACGAATGTACTCACGACATGTGGCGGCATAGGCAATCGGCCGCAGAACTGGCATCATGAAGTCAAGGATCTGGCAGATGAGAACGAACGGCCAGAGATGCGGGTGTGACATACCATTAGGACGCCAATTCGCAGAGACCCCGTCTTCCAGACGCACTATGGTGAGCACTGCACTGGGCAGACGAGAAAGCACTACACTTCCCGCCAAGACAAGGCTGAGGCGGATGAATCGTAACTCACGCTGAAACACAAGGTTTCGTTTAATCTTGGCTAGCGCTGTCTCCTCGTCCTCCTGCTCATCGGCGTCAGCCCACGGAGGTCGCCGTGAACCAGCTTTCCCTCCTTGCCTATTCAGACTGGGCAAGCGCATTAGGATGAGGTAGAATAGCGTAAATATGGTGAGCAGCGGGATAAGGTAGTCGATTGGAAGCTGGAAAAAGGGGGACGGCAAGCAAGAGAATACGAAAGACAGTAAAGATAAAGATTACACTCAGTGTTATGAGATGTATTCACCCTATTTCGATTATGGTGACGAAGTACTGGCAGTAGGATTTTCCCACATCATATCGGTAGGCCACATGTTTCCATTCAATTTCACGTAGCCGTGCATCCCAAAATAAATTATCATCATCCATCACCTCAAGAGAAATACAGTGAATCCATCTTATATATACGATCTACTGGTACTCTCAAAAACCTACTTATAAACAAAAAAACACTCAATGATGCTGACGCAATGATAAAAAAATAACTAAAACAAGTGTATATGGAATAATCCGATAAATGGCGGAAATTAATTTTATTCTTTGAGTACAGAATCATGAAAGCAACAAATAGTCTGAAAAATTGATTAGGAACGAGGAATATGGTATTGCTGTGTCAGTCAACCTATCATAAAGAGTTCTTAAGAACAAGAAAATCTTATAATAATTTAAATAATAGTGATATAATGATTTACCTTTCGTGGTAGCTATAAGTTAATACGGAAAGAAGAAGACGTTCGACACAAAGAATTTGGCGAGTAAGCACGCAAACTATAAATAGGCCATTTCTAAGAGATGAAACAAGGATGGTGTGTCCTTTTGTATGGTCGCTGTTTCCTTTTATTGTATATAAGTTGTTTGACCTTGTTTTCGCAAATTGGTCATATTGATCGTATGTAAGTAGAGTGTCGAGACTAATATGAGATGTATTCACCCTATTTCGTTCAAGGTGAGGAAGGACTGGTAGTAGAATTTTCCCACAATGATTTGAATAAAGCTGGCGTTTCCATTGAATTTCACATAGCTTTGCATTGCCAAAAATTTTTTTCATCCAGACAGAAGTGGACTGCAGTCTCGACCTCGCTTCGGTCTTATCAACACCCCCAGCGGGAATCGAACCATGACAGTGCAGCATGTGAGCTTGACAAGTTAACCACTCGTAATTGCATAGAGGTTATTTGACCTTGTTTTCGCAACATGGTCATATTGGTAGGAAGACTTATTAAAACGCACCTTGTCCGGGGTCTATTGTCTGCATGATCATTTCCAAAGTCGAACCGTGGACGTGGAACATTCCCAAACGTTTCGCCGGCATCGTCAGTATCGCCATCCTAAGCACCATACAGCTACTTGTCAA